TTTTTTTTTTAAAAAAAAAAAAAAAAAAAAAAAAAATCACATGCAACAGGTATACATTTGATTACTTATTTATTTATGCGTTTACCTATCAATGTCTATGGAACATGAGCATTGTGAGAGGAAGTTTAATGTAAGCATTTAAAGGAATGTTTGTGAGGAGAATAATCGCAGTCTTCATTCATGTTACTGTGTAATTTACCGAAACTTCTAGACTGGTTATAAATTTTCTGCTTACCCTACCTGCATGTTTTAAAATATTAGATTTAATAAAAAAATAAAAAATATATCAAAATGAAGGTACGGAAAATTTGAGGAATAGAAATGATATTGATTTGACTGTTCAAAACAACAGTTACGAAACACAGTTGCTACTAGAAATTTAGGGCATGTTTATTTCACCGATTTGAGTTTAGAATTCGAGTTTTGTTATAGTAAAAAATTATCAGAAACAGTCACATTTAACTTTTTTGTTATAATAAAAAATTTTCACATAAAATCACATTTTAACTCAAATTAAAAATTCAAACCAGCGAACTAAATGAATCCTTAATTTACAACAGGCAAAGGGTGTGAAAGGCATGAAAAACTTCCCATTAAACTGACATAATTGTCCAGAACAAACTGTCATATGTATTGCTTTATACGTACCTTTTAGCAGCTCCAGACACCTGACAGACATCGAGTAACAAACCAAAGTAATACACTCAACATTCAAGGAAAATTCAAGTAGCCAACTTCTCAGAAATGTCCAAATAAAGGACCTTATCAAGTTTAGCACAGCACTCCCAAAATGCCATTAATCTGGTAAAGCAGAATTGCGGAAGCAGCCAAATTTCAATGAGAAAAGCACCTTGTTTTGAACGCCTAACAAACCACCATAAATACCTTTTCCTTAACAATGCATTCCTCGTTTTGACACCACATGATACTTCTCCTTTCATTCCATGCTCCACATTGTCTCCTAGCCAAACTGAAAAAGCATGTCATCTTCCCCACATGAAGTCATTCTCACTAGCTCCCCTGAAGGCCCCATAATTGCTTATGATGCCTCCTCCGGCGCCTCTGTGACCTGCTTCACCGGCAGCCGCTCACCCCGTCGGGGCCTCGCCCTCGTTGGAAAGATTTTCATTGCTGCATCACACATCTCCCCCGTCACGGCTTCTGGCTCAATCCACATCTACAACTGGTGGTCCTCAACAGCCTTCCATAAACTACCCGTCCCTGAACCTGTTGCCCCTCTAATTGGTACTCCTGATGGCTCTTATCTCTTCGCTGGTGGTCTTTCAGGAAGTGTCTATGCACTCTCAGTCCCATCGGGGGATGTACTTAGATCAGTTCATGCACACAAAAAATCTGTTTCCTGTCTTAGAATCAGTGAAGACGGCTCACTTTTGATTTCAGGTTAGAGATTACGTCTAAGATATATATATATATATATATATATATATATTCCTAGATATATATCATAAAAGAGTTTTATTAAGTACAATCGTGACTGACGTGACTGTCTATTCTTCACCACTGAGTCTTATAGTGAGAGTGAGGTGGGAGCCTTTTTAGCATGGTTCTATCATGAATTGGATGAATGAGTGACATACTACTTATGAACATTAGTAACCATTATTTAGAAAACAAAAAATTCACAGTAGTCACACCTTTTATTTATTCATTTGCTAAAATTCACAGCAGTCATATGTCTTTTATTTATTCATTTGCTTATTTTAATCATTTTTCATGTCTTCTATGTAAACAGTGACGTAAGAATTCTGCGGTAAGGTATACCAATTGGACATAGTTTTTAACAGTGGATTCCGTTAAATTATCATACCTTTTAATCTCATATGATCCTGACGTGATCAGTATTCGACGAGTAAGATATTTGTACATACCCAGCTACAGAGTACTTTTTAATGACAGAAAATCTGTTTTCCTGAAGCATGTAAAGCAATTTCAAACTCTTTCTTTTCAGGTAGTGATGATGGCACCATCGTTGTGATCCCAATCTTTCAACTTGTGGGGTCATCGATAAATCAAGACATGGACCAGTTAATAATGCACAAGTTAGCTGCACACTCAGGTGCAGTCACAGATATCATTTCCGGCAAGGAATTGTGCAACTCCCAGATCATCTCATGCTCATTGGACTGCACATGTAAGTTCTGGAGCCTCCTCCGCGGGACCCACCTGCGCACCGTGGTGTTCCCCAGCACCATTCTGGGGCTTGTCCTGAACCCCTCAGAATCAGAGTTCTATGCTGCAGGCTCAGACGGGTCTGTGTACAAAGGATCTATCAAAGTTGGAAGCAGAAGAATTCCCAGCAGCAAAGGACAAGATCATGAACTGGTAATAGCTCAAAACCACAATGGGGCAATTGTGTCTTTGGCAATGGTGAACAGTGGGAGAAATCTTGTGTCAGCTTCAGAAGATGGGGGTGTTTATATTCAGAAAATAGATGATGGACAAGTGGTTTTGGCTCTTGGGAATGAGTTTGGAAGCAGTATTAGTGACTTGGTGGTGGCCACAGGAATTGGTTGTGGCAAAGACATTGTTGGGTCAAGATTGGGCAGTGGCGAATTTGATGGTGTTAGAATTGGACTTAGTGGGAGACAAGTGATGATGAGTAGTTCACCAGTGAAGGAAAGAGTGGAGATGGAAGATGTTTTGGCATTGGCAGAGAAAGATAGAAGCAGGGCAATTGATTTGCTTGAATCTGCTATTGCTATGTATGAGAGGCTTCTTGAACTCATTCTAAAGGAAGCCAAGGGAACAAGCAGCGGAGAAGTTGCAAAAGAGAGAGAGAACTCTATATAATATCACATACTCCATGAATTTGTTGACCAAAGACTATATATATATATATATATATATATTTGTATGTATGTATGTATGTATCCTAATAGAAAAAAAAAGACGTATATATGGGAAGAGAACATTTGTGAATTGTGCAGTAATAATCTTCTCTCTTTATATTTTTGATTCGATTCAATCCTGTCTATCTGGTTAAATAATCCAAGGCTCGTTATGTGTGCATTTTGAATGCAAGACTTAAATAGTAAATACAAGATTTAAAAAAAAAATGGTTGACACATTGAGAAAGGGATATGTGCAAAAAAAAAAAAAAAAAAAAAAAGATCGTTCTTTTAGCCCTTTTCTTAATAAATTGCCGAAATTTTATAAAAATTATGTAAATGGTTGTTTATTAATTTTAAACTATGGTAAATAAATTAGACACCAGTTTATCACTAATTGACTTGGTGGTTTATTATGGATTGTCCAATATCAGATAGCGATAAACCAATTTTAATCGATTATTTTTATCATTGATAAATCATTGTTTGTCATTGATAAATCATATTGTATTAGTGATTGTATTGATCGCTATAAAAAGGTCATTTTCTAAAGAAAAAAGTTTGGTCATTAATTTAAAAGGGGTGGTTAAATTGACCTAATTTTTCCTTTGGGAAAAATTATTTTAAGTGGAGCAATGAGGAAAAAAAAAAGATTTATTATGGCCATAATTGAGAAAATAGTGTTTAAGAGGACAACATGAAAATGTTTAAGTATGAACATATTTGAAAGAAATTATTTTAAAGTAAAAATTAAGAAAATAAATTTAATTAGAAACACTTGAAAATAAGTAAATTATCGAACTTACCTTTAAAGTGAATGAGTCTAGATTTTTATCTCTTACTCTTGATTAATATCGTTCTAATTGATATATTTATTTAACTAAAAAAGACATTAATCAAGAGTAAGGAGTACAAATTTATACTCGTGCATTCTACGGAATATTTGTCTCATTTTCTCTTTTATATTTGATCAAGTGTGTTTCTCCCATCCCCACGGTGTGTCATTTCAGGCAGTAAAACTTGGAGTCCGCCTAGCGCTGGAAGAGTGAAAATCAATGCGGACGCCGCTGTCAAAGATAGCCAGGATCATATTGGGATAGGTATTGTTATCCGTAATGAGATGGGGTTGGTTCTTAGTGCTGCAGCCATGAGAATTCAAGGGTGTTCTTCTCCACACTTGGGCGAGTGCTTGGCTGTTCGGGAAGGAATTTTCTTAGCTCAACAATAAGGTTAAACCAGATGGGTGGTTGAATTCGATGTTTTAAATATTGTTGGAGCTATCCAAAGCCCTCTTTCAAGATCACCGGTTTCAAGTATCATAGATGATATTCAAAATAGTATTGATTTAGCTTCTTGTGGTTCCATTTGCTATGTTTCTCGTTTTGAGAATTCATGCTAGCTTCTTATGGTTTTTCCAGCTCTTTTGATATGTTTTGGCTGGACTCTTGCCCAAGATTTATTGGTGCTTTTGTATGTGCTGATTTAGCACTTGTCTTCTGAAAAAAAAAAAAAGCAAGCCTGTTCCTCTCTAAATAAATAAATAAATAAATAAATAAATAAATAAAAGCACGTTTCTCCCAACTTTCATTTTAACCCAAATCATATGCATAGTTACAGCGATACAATACTACATTGTAAAATTAAATATTATGATTAAAATTCATAAATTCCATGGAAAAAAGCCATTAGTGGCTCCCCAAAAATTATCAAAAAAATCTCCCCCCCCCCTTTTTTTTTTTTTTTTTTTTTGAAATGAAGTGCAACTTGCATTGACCGGCTAAATCAACCAAAATAGCATAGGCTACAAATAACGAGACAGCCTCAATACTCCATTCAATAACATTATTAAAAACAGCCTTAGCCGGAAGATGAATTGCCCTATTTCCACAACCGAAATATGACAGCATTAACCACCGTATAAAAACATTAAAATACCCTCCCCATTATGAACAATTATGTATTGTCATACATTTTTCTTTTTTTTTTTTTTTTTTTTTTTTTTGTTTTTTTCGTCCTCCTTCAAGATCAAGAGTTGCTTTCTCCATTCAATGCTTTTCGAAAGCATTCAATGCACATTCTACCTAGACCTCCATCTGTTATTACACAAAATAAATCACACCATAAATCAACTGAAGACTGAATTTTCCCTTTAATCGAGCAACGCAGCACCCAAATAAAATAGAATTGATCATACAACATAGTCCCCTATGATTTTATCGTGTAAAGAAAAGTAAGAACATTCCAGCTTCAAGGTCTATAAGATCAAATCTACCACGTAACAAAATATGACGGTAATTTCTCCAACTAAAATGAATGAGGAAACAACTTCAAAGCCCTATTGAAATCAAAACCTACTAAGGTAAGTCGATGCATATATAAGAAACCCTACATATACACATCAACCAAACACACTATTTTGCATGGGCGTCAGAATTTGAGAATACCCTTACAGAAAGTGAGACCAACAATTTGTCCTCTCATGGAAACCACAGGCACATTGGTCATCCTGCTTTCTCCGCTTCAGTGAGGAAAAGCAGTGAAAGGCTATCACCCCGCTGCCCATCCTATGAAGCCCGACTCAAGAATCGTAAGGCAAGCAGTAAGCACGGTTTAGAATTGCCTCCGCCGTTTCGAGATAGAACCATTAAATTGAGAAGTGGGTGCATTTTGCATGCGGGAGGGGGATACGTTGGGAACAAATGCAGCATAATTGGATGAACTGTAAGAACTTCTTGACCAGTATAACCCCGAGGCTGTAGGTGGGGAAGGTACCTGTGGCACAGCCCAGGATGTCTCGGGTACCTTACCTAAGCACTCATCATTGTCAAGTTCCTCCTCGCTTGCTCTAAAAACTGAGTCGTCGGAGTCTCCAAGCTTACCACTGTCAGCCTGGTACAATTTATTACAAGAACGATGCAAAATCATGCACCAGCTTTGATAAATACTGATAACTCTCAGATGGAGTATTAGAACAGAAAAATCCATTAGATGATGAGTTATTGGTTCTAAACCATCTCTAGTGATAAATCAACAATTTGAAGTACTTTTCTTGAGTATTCTTGATAAACCAGCATTTATATATAGATGTAGGAAGATCTATTTGGGAAGTAAGAGCCCCTTTCATTAACATGATTCTTCAATGAAATACCCTTATGTACCCTTTGTAGAAAGCGAAGGCCAATTTTTTAACATGAAACCATAACTATAGCCCCACGTTGGGTTTCTTGGGCAACACGGCAATTTACATTCCGTCCC